TTACGTATCATAATTTATATAGGAACTAGTAAGTGAAGGAGCTTTTTCCCCCGGGGGGGGCAGCAAGGGGGTGATCAGCTGTGTCTGGTAAACAACAACAACAAGAAGAAGTCAGGTCAGACTTCACACTCTTATTATTAACAATATATCTGTAAGATTGAACCTATTATCAGTCTTACCTTTTGCTTCATAAAGTGTTGGTGATTATTACTGCAGTTTCATTCTTAGTAAAATAGTTCCTTTGTAATATATTTTTTTGTATCGAGAGTATGAACTGTTCTTGTTTGTGGTTCAACTTTGAAATTTGTTTAAGGTAAATATAAATAAGTTACTTAATTATAATTTGTTATCTCCAATGAGTTATTTTGCTTTTGTTAAGTATAGTATGTGTCTGCTAATTATAAACATGTTTAAAATAATATTAATTAGTGACGAGGAGAGCAAAAAATTCTCAATATATGTTAAAGTTCAGAAAACAGAATATTTCTTTAAACAGTTACTGATAAAAACTAAATTGGTCTATATATAAAAGAGAGAGAGGAGTCTGGGGAGAAAGGTGAGCCACAAACTTTCTCAGTATCTGCTGTGTCAGTAGCCAGAGTGCAAGAAATATATGAGGAAAGATTAATTGGATGTACAAGAACCATAGATATTATTGCAATTACTGAAACTTGGTACAGCCTGAGAAATATGGACATGTCTACTGAATTCTGCATAGCTGTGTTTATTATTATTGGACCTCAGGATGCCAGTGGTTATCCATGGGCTGTTTAGTCTATTGTCATCTGTTTGCTTGTTAATGGGTATGTTTTATTTCAAAGATTTGTTATTATGTGACAAGAATACAGGAACACTTGAGTTAATGTTTTTGCCATTTTGCAATTTTCTTTGCCAGTCAATGTTAGTGATTGACACAATAAATTATTCACTGATGTTTCATCATGAAACATAGAAGAAATTTTACTAGTTTTTGTTAAATTGACTATTAAGGCAGAGTATCAGTCAGTAGTGTTGTCTGTGATAATGTCTGCTGTTGGACGGTCTAGTATATTTGTCCAGATGACTTTAAGTAAAGTTGCACTAGTCTCGGTAGTTCTTGTAGGTTTGGTTACTGAAGGTATATACTGAAGAGCCCGTATCGTGACTACGGTGCTCTTCACACCAACTCTAATTGCTGAGGGGCTAATTTCCTCATCTTTTGTATATAGTTCAACTGTCTTCAAATTATGTCCTAGAATTTGTATTGATAAAGCCACTGGATGATGAAACAACTACATTAAAGATACCCAGATGTTGCATATACTGTCATCAAGGTATATACTGTTCAGGAAATTGGGTATACAGTGGACCCTCGACCAGCGATATTAATCCGTTCCTGAGAGCTCATCGTTAATCAAAATTATCGTTAGTCGAGTTAATTTCCCATAAGAAATAATGGAAATCAAATTAATCCATGCAAGACACCCAAAAGTATTGAAAAAAAAATTTTTACCACATGAAATATTAATTTTAATACACACAAACTGAAGAAGACATGCACAGTTACATGACACTATACCTTTATTGAGATCTGGTGATGATTGATGGGATGGGAGGAGGGGAGAGTGTTGATGGTGTTAGTGTTTAGAAGGGGAATCCCCTTCCATTAGGACTTGAGGTGGCAAGTCTTTTTCGGGGTTACTTCCCTTCTTCTTTTAATGCCACATAGGACAGCTTGAGAGTCACTGGACCTCTGTCGCACAACATATCTGTCCATAGAGGCCTGTACCTCCCGTTCCTTTATGACATTCCTAGTGTTTCACAACATTGTCAGTGTCACACTTGGTTCAGGTTTCAATTCTTCACTGTCTATGTACTCCTTGAATTCCTGCACATAGTTTTTCAGCTGCTTTTTGGTCCAAACTGGCAGCCTCACCATGCCTTATCACACTATGTATGCCACTACAATTCTTAAATTTCTCAAACCAACCTTTGCTGGCCTTAAATTCACTCACATCACCACTAATTTCTGGCATTTTTCTAATTAAATCCTCATGCAACTTCCTAGCCTTTTCACATATGATCGCTTGAGAGATGCTATCTCCTGCTATCTGTTTTTCGTTTATCCACACCAATAACAGTCTCTCAACATCTTCTATCACTTGCGATCTCAGTTTCGAAAACATAGTTGCACCTTTGGCAAGAACAGCTTCCTTGATTGCCATTTTCTTGGCCACAATAGTAGCGATGGTTGATTGGGGTTTTGTGTACAACCTGGCCAGCTCGAGACACGCACTCCACTTTCATATTTAGCAATGATCTCTTTCTTCATATCCATAGTAATTCTCACCCCTTTTTTCTGTAGGGTTGGCACTAGAAGCTTTCTTGGGGCCCATGGTGACTTATTTTGCAGGTGCAATCACTAAAAAGGCTGTGACAATATGAAATGTTCCGATTGTATGCTTGGAAGTGACCGCGGTGGCTGGCTGGCTTGTAAACACTGGCCAGAAGTGGACGCGTCTCAGACGGAAACAAATAGCGTTGGTCGAGTTTTTTAGCGCTAGTCGAGCAAAATTTTTGCGTTAAAATGTATTGCTGGTCGGATTTATCGTTAATCGATGCCATCATTGGTCGAGGGTCCACTGTATATAGTTCTTTTGACTGATTGAGACAAATGTTAGTGTTCAGCAATTATTAGGTGATTTATTTTGTTTATGTTAATGATGTTTGTGGATGAGAAGATTTTGTGCAAGATAATTACGAGTATTTGAGTGCTAGAAGCTACAACATTTGGCAGGCTTGTTTGAATGTGTTGGGTTGAGAGGATATCTTCAAAGACCATTGGTTTATTACATGTAATCTCCCTCTGATTTAAAATTGGTTAGTTAGGATGCTATCTTGCAAGAAATATGATCCTCTCCATCTCACAGCCTGACCTTCATGTGGCTGTGAGAAAGAGAGGGTCTTGGCTTCCTTGCCGAGGGATCACTGCACCTCTGTGCTGCTTGCTGCCGATATTGAGGATAATTTCTCCACAGAGGAGGCGAGTGTTTTTCTTGATTTAATTTGCTGTTGGAGTATGATCACAGTAACTTTTATGAAGGAATTTAGGGAAACCGGTTAACTGGACTTTAGAGTCCTGGAGGTGGAAAGCATGGTGTCTGCACTCAGGTGATGTGAGGATGGTCATTGCAGTTTGGAGGGTCATCTGAGCTGTTATGTCAACATGTTCTGGCAAGACAGTGATTGAATGAATGATGGTGAAAGTATGTAATTCTTCTTTTTGGGGCTTCCCCCACCAAGGTGGAGTATAGCTGGTATGTTTAAAGAAAAATATTGTTTATCTGTAAATAATATTGCTTCCCTTCTAGGGGATCCTTGATGCTGATGAAGTGTTCTTGATCCAAGGATTTGGAGCTAAACTCCCCTTCCTCTGATCAAATCTTTTGTACCTACCCATTTCTCAGGCACTGTGTGACTTACAGGTTCATTGCTTCCCCATTAATATACAGTATTATTATTAATTCATTGTATATTGAGAGGTATAGACTACAAATATTTTTTTTTTTATTTTGTTTTTGTCAAAGAAGCACATTACCACTAATACTTTCAACAGCTAAGTGAAGGAGAATGGCAGCCAGTATTCAGCTGTCCCGTGAGGAACTGTGTGATGGGTTAGACCAGCTCTCGCTCCAGTTGCTGGAACTCATGGACCACCTCATTAAGGTACACTATTTTTTTTTTAAACCAATACTAGTACATAATTACTGTATCTTGTTTATAAACTGTAGCTAGGTAGACTGTGCCTACATTATATAACCTTTCAAGGGTACACCACTGTAATGCAGTTGAATTTATGCTAATATTGTACAGTATAAGGTATAGTACACATCTGTCCTGTTTCATTGGGATTGATGTCAGGCTAATTGGATAAAAAACAGTGTAAGATTAGACATCTTGTAAATATGTACTGTATTTTGTTTTTGCTCTGTGTAGTTTTGAAAAAATATATATTTATATATTTTCACTATTGTATACAATTGTCCCCACAAATTTACAGGGAATGTGGCAGAGAGGGAAAACCTAGAAGTCCTGCAGAACTAGCAACCATGAATAATAAAATTATGTCTGCATAACACATTTGTTTCAGACTTGGGTTCATTAAGTCTTGAAGAAATCATATCTTTGTAATATTTGTCACTCTAATCTGGTTAACATTGACATTCACAAACAAGAATGACCAGAATATAAATAGATTGGACATAAGAAAGCTATTGAGCATAATTTGAATGAAAAGTTATGGTTAATATTCAAGCCAGAAAAAAATTGCTGTCAGAAACCCATGGATGATCAAGTCTCATTGATACTGACAATATGGATGAAAGGACATATATACTTAATATGTCTTTATTGGATGCATTTTATTCCTGGGACCTTGGTCACTCTAAATGATACAAGAGAATGAAAAAAGTGTAGTATATATGTACCTGACAGTGAAAGCCCGGGGGGATGGGGTGAAGGCATGGGGCCATTAATTGGGGGGTCACGTGGCGCCATGAAAAATCATGTAGAAGTATCATTTGTGCTAGGTATTAGATGATACGGTTCCCAGCCTTTTTTTTTTGGTATCAGAGTAACAATTATGGAGGTTTTAAATACAGTGGAGCCTGTTGTTGGGTTCTTGTAATCACGTCAGATTATTCCATTGCATGTGAGGGCCCCTCTTTGCCCTGTGTACATAAAAATACTGTATTGTCTTGATTCAAGCAATTTTTGTGGTCTTGGACTTGGGGAAAAGATTTCACCATTTTCTCATATAGTTCTTATTGAAACCCAGCATGTATTGTGATACTTCTGCTTCCTGCGGGGCTGTGTATAAACATCTGGGGGCCCCGGGGGTTTGGTGGCTAAAGTTCCCGCTTCACCAGGAGGGCCCGGGTTCGTTTCCGGCGGGGGAAAATTCCCGACAGTTTCCTTCAACCTATTGCCCGTTCCCCTTGCAGCAAATAGGTACCTGGGTGTTAGTCGATGGTGTGGTCCAAACCTGGGGACAAATTAAGGACCCAATGGAAATAAGTTAGACAGTCCTCGATGACCACTGACTTTCTGGGTTATCTGGGTGGCTAACCCTCCGGGGTTAAAATCCAACGAAATTTTCTTTTCTTATTCTTTTCTTCATGATGAGTCTGATGGGAAGACATGGGCAGGCAGTATGCAGAGTTACTTCTAGAAGGGGCCCCTTTTGGTGGTGTTGGCCACTTTTTCAGGTAGAACAAGATCGGGGTTTCTTGATAAGGCATTGTTGTTAGAGTTCCCTTTATCTGCACTTTTGTATAAAGAAGTACGTATAAGCATGTTAAGGTATGGCTAATGTACTGGAACTTTTCTAGGAATTCAGGACTGGAGATATGGAAAACCCAGTCCACACCTCTTTGGTGCTTATCATGTGCGAATAGAAATGAGTAAGGTCTTTCTGTAGACCATAAAAGACAAACTTCATTGAGTGGGCCTGCATAGAAGGCATCAAGGAATGGTAGTTTGTCTTCATTTTCCACTTCAAAGTGAATTTGATTATACTGTACTTTGTTGAGCTTATGAAGAAGGTTTAGTATGTTACCACAAGTCTTATGCAGTATATGACAACAGTGTCAACATACGAGCCATGTGACTGTTTAGAAATGATATTGCGAAAAAACCTTCACCTTTATTATTGAATTTTCTATTATATAGACTTTGCTATTCATTCTCTTGTATTTCTTGGAGCGCCAAGGTTCCAGGACTAAAAAAATGTATCCAATAAAATGTTCTAGGTATATGCATGTGTTCTTTCACCCATAATTAGTAATTAAGTCTATTCATGAGTTGCCCTTTGGGTAAACATTGGATAATCAAAATCACAAAGGAGAGGAGTTTTGAGAATTTATAGGGATGACTTTTCATTTATTTTTAATTATTTTTTCTGATGCTGTGGTTCTGTTTCTCTACATTTTAGAGCAACAAAGTGCTTGGAAGAAAATCTGAGGAGTGGGTTTCTTCCACTTAGGCAAGACACGCTTCACACTTGGCATGAATGCAGTCCCGTTCATTGCAATTACCAACCCGTGAAAGTGAATGAAATCTCTTGCGGCAGTAATTAGCACGCCAGTGGTTCTGGAGAATTATTCTGGTGACATCATGTATCACACTGTTGATACTAAGTTTTTGGATCCTATAGTTACAGTTCAGGATGATGAGACAGGTAAAATGATTTTCTTTAGAGGGCAATGATCATGATAATAAAATCAAGGACTGAGAAAAAAGGGGAACAAAAGTTGATGGAAAACAAACTTCTGATGAAGTAAGTGAGAGTGACTTGAAAAAGGGAAGCAGTGTCAAAGTGAAACCCATAAATCGTGATCCAATCCGCTGGTTTTCAGTTTTACCACCTCAGACTCTAAAGCATGCACAACAGACTTCAAGACAGCCATTCAGTTGATTGCTCAGTGTGCTACAACACAGTTAAAACTCAGAGCTGTAAGTAAGGAATATAAACGCCTTCATGAAATAAAACGCAAGTTGGATACCATTGAAAAAGAGGCATGATTATATCAAAATTGTAAATAAACCTAATGGTTATAAGTAACACACTTCAGTTGTGCCTCATTTTTTTAACTTGAGAATTATGATACATTCCTTTTTCTGACCATTTATTATTACAGGTATAGTATAGGCAAAGCTCTTAGGTAAAGCGCATTGCTTACTAAACTTTCAGCTCTAAATGACCCCCATGGGTCTAGTGCTTCTTTGTGAGACAAAAGATAACACAAATAAAATTATTATATGTATTACCTTATTACTGTTATTTCCTTTGGACTGTTCATAATTATAGCTCATGAAGATGGCAAATTACATGACTGATGTACTGCAAGGTACATCAGTATAGGAGGACCCTGCTTTACAGTGCCTTGCTTTACAGCACTTTGCTAATGCAGCAGTTTTCAGTTATACCCATTCTTCATTTATTCAGACTTCCTACAATAAATACATTCACCACTCACTATGAATGGTTATAATTATGACCATAATTTTTAAAGAGGTGGACCGGAAGCCAGCCAAAGGCCTTGGTCCAAGTGACTAGAAGCTCCAACAGCGGGTCATCATATGACTAAGACCTGCGTCAGGAAGCACTTGTCTTGTTTCCTGACAAACCTTACCTAACCTAACCTATAAGCTATGGACAAAAATATTTTAAGGTAAGTAATATGTGTACTGTACTGTTTATGCATTTTTATGCCTAGCTCTGTTGTTCACTTATAGTGTAAACATTATCATGCTTTTATGCATGTTTGAAAGTTAAAAAAAAAATGTTCTTTTGCTTTACAGCAGTAGCTGGAACCTAATCTGCTGTATAAGCAGGGCCTCTGGCTGTACACCTACATAAACCTAAGTAAACTGATTCAGTGATGTACTGTAGCTGAATAATAGATATTGTGTACACCTGCATCAATTCATAGTGCACAGGTGATGTACTGAAGAAGTGAGTATCATTTTCCATGCACAACGTACTACTGCAAATCCAGCGTTGCATTTGAGGAGAGACTTTTAAATGACATTTGGAAGTTTCAAGGTCTGGACTCCTCTTGCACTAGGTTTAAATTTACTGAAACATTAATAAAAAAATGCAGACTGTTATGTACATTTAATAATATGCTAACTAAACAAATCGTATGTTGAAGGGAAGCATTTCTGAAGGGTAAGCAATTCTTACCTTGTTTGTTATGAATGCATGACACTGGTTATAGACATATACTGTATATAATGAGAGTATGTTACAGATCCCAAAACAATTAGTATCAAAAGATAGTCTCAGACAAAACAGTATAAATCCTGACACCACCTCATTTCTGTTGTGATTGCTATTTATTACTGCTTCATTGCAAAGTTTGAATGAAATTTATTTTTTATTTCAAGTGGCATTTTTGTGATGTTTAACTATGAAGGTGATTATTTCTCATCAATGGGCTGTTGGACCAATTTTGGCCTAATAGAGACATAATTGTCTTGGTGGATTTGGGTACTAAAAGTGTTAGCTTCTTATCTGTCATAACCCCTCAAAATTAAGTCTCATCAGTGATGCAGTTATAAAAATTTTTTATCTAGAATGATAGAGAATATTTCTTATAAAGGTAATGATACAGAAAATGCAAAATTTGATGTAAAACTTATGGAATTACACAAGTGTGAAGTTGAAGGTTGGGGAAGCATTGTATGCAGCTGTGATTTCTTGCACTGTAGAGGCATTTTTAGGTCAGTCCATTCCTCAAACTGACTTGGTTTATGGACATTTCACTATTATGCCTTTAATACTATCAAATGCCCACAAGAAATTGCCAATTCAGCAATCAGAACTACCCTATAAAGGACTCAGATTTTGGTAATTTGACCAATATTATATAAAATTCAGCAAATTCCAGTTTAAAAACAGTCTAAACAAATGCTGGAGGCATTACAATTTTTGTTAATCATGTTCCCAGACCTCTTCTATAAAATGCTTTCCCTTTATTTTGAATCCATTATCATACAAAAAATTAAAGTGTGCCTTATTTCTTGGCTTGTAAAAGATATCCGAGATGGTTGGTCATGGTTTAGACTGTCCCAATAACTGAAACAGACTGGGGGACAAGCTTCTGCTCTTCTTAGGAAAATCACAAAACATCAAAAATTTTCACCACTTTGAGGTCTTTCAGTTTTTTTTCCGGTCTTTAACCAAACAAAATCAAATCTATTTCACTAGTGTGTTTTTTTGGTTTATCAGTTGGTCCCAAGAAACAACTAACAAAACCATGAAAACTAACCTACTAAAAGAAGCCTCAAGCTTGCTAGTTTAACCCAAACTTGCTAGTTTAACCCTGGAAATGAGAAGTACATACAATGCCTGCACTTTAAAGGAGGGGTTTGGGATATTGGCAGTAGGGAGTTCTAAACTGTTGTACCTGAGCACCTCTGCAAAGAGTGATTATGTATGAGGGATGGTAAAAGTGTTGAATGATGATGAAAGTTTTTTCTTTCTTTTTGGGTCACCCTGCCTCGGTGGGAAACAGCTGACGTGTTGAAAAAAAAATATTTGACTGCTGTCTATATTAAATAAAAAGCAACACACCATGCCAGACACGTCATACAAGGAGCCATGTGTGCCTGTTGTGCCTATATTTCGTCATATGCTACTGCTACTATGTGTGCAGTATGGAGAAAGGTGTGAAAATTAACAGGTAAGTACTTGTGTAAATTAGCACCAGTACTTGACACTGCTGACACAGAGTTAGCAGATCCAGTTGCCATCAATAATACCATAGGATATTTTACCTAGGTCTCTCATGGGCCACACCAGTCACCTGCTTGCTACAATATCTTCTTTAAACTTCAACACTTGCACAGATGAACCATGTAATGTTCCATTTACTGTTCTTGAACTTACAGTACTTCAGTATTTTTAAAGTGTCAACTTACGGCAGCTAGTCCCAGTGATGTACAGAATATTTCAGATTGCATTTCTTGATATTATGTTTTTATATCGATATTCAAATCAATTTCAAAAATAAAATCCTTTGTGGATTTGACTAAGCTTTTGCATTATAAAATTGAGGCAAAAATTGAAATAAGGTTGATTCCCATGCTGAACTTTCCCAGGCACATAGATTGTCTTAGAGAAAAAAGCCTAGCTTGATGTAAATGAAGCAGTGTGGATGAATGGTCCAGTTTGTGGAGTGGTTCATTATTTTATTCCTTCAGTCCCCTCAAGGGAGGTTCCTTGATGCTGGTGAGGGGCTCTTGATCTAGGGAATTGGATCTGTGCTCTGGTTCCCAGAATTGAACCTGAATACCTTCCATCCCCCTTTCCCCCCTGCCACATGCACTGTATATAATCCTATGGGTTTAGTGCTCCCCATGTTTAAATAAAAATTTAATAATTTTTCCCTTCATTCAGGAGGGACGGGGTTTCCCAAAAGAACTTTTCACTGAAAAACCCCAGTGTAATAAGTCCCCTTTTGTTTGGGTTATCCGGGGTTTAAAAAGCTACTTGTTTGTTTTTTTAAGTCCCCAAAAAAACATTTTTTTTCCCTTTAAGACCATTTAAAAAAAAAAAAAAAAAAATTTGAATGCTTTTGTCCCCAAAAAACAAAATATAACTTACTCCTCCTTTTGATAATTCCCATGTCATCCTTTGGGTCTTGTAGTCTCCCCAAAAAGTGAAAGCTAAAGTTTATACTACCAAATGCAAAATTTTGGATCAACCATCGATCAAGGAGTAATGAAACTTTTAAAAGTGCCACTATGTAATTTAAGACACTTGCAACTTTTTGGGATAAAGTATATCCAAATTTTGCCCCATGTGTCTTAAATTAAACAAAATTTGCGGAAATTTTTTTAAAACCTTTCTTCCAACAAGTCCACACGCATGCAGGGTGGTGCAAAAACTCTCCCGCTTTGGGATACTACATGAAAAACAAGAGTCCCAAAATTTTTGGTTTTTAAGTCAACATTGCACATTCAGTAAAAAATGAAAAGGGGTTTTCATGGGATCATGTGTTTGAAATTTAAAAACAAAAATGCAGGCTTGAGAAAATTTTTGCCAAATTGTGGGGGAAAAATTTTTGGACGGGTTTTTTTTCCTTTTAGTAAAGTCGGGTTAAAAAAAATTTGTAAGATCTGGCAAGGGGGGTTTCCCAAAGTAAAAAGATTTTGAAAAATTTTAAAACCCCAAAAGGGAACGTGGGGTAAACCTTGACTATGATAACACACTGCAGAGGAAAGGTCGGGGGCTTGATAATGTGTAAAAAGGGAAACGTTTAACAAAAAAAATTTGGGGGGAGAAAAAACCAGGACCTAACATTTGGGATGCTCAAGAGACGTTTAGCATTACATACCCTTTGGGGTTTAAATTTGCAGATTTTTTTTGTCGGGAAAAAGCCCCCTGACACATCTAGAAGAAATTGCATATTTTAAATCCACGGTTTTATATTACAAACCATTCTGGAAAAATGCCCTGACTTTGGGTTACGTAAAAAAAACTAAAACGAAATTTGATTAATAAATCATTAAATTTGTAAATCAGGTGGGGGACGGGGGAAGGGTTTTCTTACCTCTGTAACCTTTTTTCAGCTGCCCAAAATTTTGGGGGGGCCCATTTCCCTGGACCCTTTTATGTTTTGAAAAATTTTTGACTACCCCACGGATGGTAGTCAAGACACACTTATTTTAAGACTAAAAGTGATTTAAGAAATTTTATTGCCCCGTACTGTGCACATAAATACAGTTACACAAATTTTTTCACACAAAAAACATATTTTAAAAATTACCTGGATAACCCCAAAAAATTTCAATAAATTTTGACTTTTTTCTATTCGGGTTTCTTTTAAAACAAACTTTGACATTTTTTTTTTCCCCGCTCAAAAATTTCCCCCTTCACACAGTTTTCTTTGTTTTGTTAAAGGACCCCAAGGGAAAATAATTCACTTAACTTTTTTTTTTTACCCTGGGTTTTCTTAAACATATGTTTGCTATGTATGATAATCTATAAAACTGTATTTGTTTCCCCGAATAAAATTACTGCCCTACCTCCCCTCCCACCCAATTATTTTTTTAAACCCCCCCTAACCTACCCCCCAACCAACCACCCACTCACTCCCTTAAACCCTACTGATCTCGCCCACAACCCCCCCCATCCATCCATCCCATAAAATTCACCGGGGTTTGAGGGGATCAGTGACCCAAGCAGCGGGTTTTGTGTGTGGGTCAGAAAACCCCCCACCAGCACTGGTGTGGGCCAGAAAACCCCCCCCAGCAGCGCAGGTTTATAGGCCGTGACCCACCAGCCCCAAGCGGGTTTGTATGGGCCAACAACCCAAACCACAGCTGGGGGGTGTGGGTAAAGGCCCCCCTTCAGCAGAGGGAGTGGATCAGTGCCCCCACAAGCAGCAGGTTTTGTGGGTCGCTACCCTTTACACGGGTGTGTGGTTTCAGCGACCCACCAGCACAGGTGCGTTTAAGAAATTTTAATGGGGAAAAACGGGCAAAAGGGGCCTACTGGTAAATACAAGGCAGGTCCTAACCCAAAACCACCACTCCCCAAAGCAACCCAAGAATTCTCCCTTACCTAAAACCCACCAATCAAACCCGGGCCCCTCAGACCCCGTACATTTGCCCCGATCTTTTTTTTTAAAACCCCAACCCAAGGTCCTGCCTCTATCACTCTACTCATAGACTGTTCCAGCATCCATGACTGTTTAAAAAAAAGTACTTGCCTATGCCCTTTTTCTAAATCTAAATTTTTTCTAACTTTAATCCATTATTTTTTTTTCTTCCCGGGTTTGATATTTCATATTTTTTTAAATTTATCCCCTTTTGTCTATGTTTCATATCCTCTTCAAGGGGGGCCCCTTTGGGCGGGGTTTGAAAAAGGCTTTTGGGTCTGAGGAATTACCCTGCGGTTTTCCCTTTCCTCAGACCCGAACCTAATTACCCCCCCCTTTCTCCCCCCCCCCTTTAACCCCATCCCCCCAATCCCCCCTTTTTTCCATTCCCCCCTCCCCCCTCCCCCCCCCCCCTTTTGCCCTTCCCCCTTTTGGCCTTTGGGATGTCTCCCCCCTGCGCGCTATTTCCTAGGTAGGGGAAAAAAACCCCGGGGGGGGTCCATCCCTTTTTCCTTTTGGGGTTTTTGGCGGTTTGGCATATTTTGCCGGGGGAATCGGTTTTGCCTGGGGGATGTCCCGATCCCTCCCCGGGTTTTCCCGGATTTTTTGGGGTGTTTTTGGGGCAACGGGTGTATCCGGGAAAGGGCCCCCCTTTTTAAGGTTTGGGGGGTGGGGGCCCGGGAAGGGGGTATGCTTTGTGGGGATACCCGGGCCCCGCCCCCCCTTTCTTTTGTCCACCGAGGTAGCTCAGCAGATGTGAGGTTGCAAATCCAGGATTGTTTGGTTTACTGGAAATGAAGGGTGGGGGTAGGGGCACGGGTTTCCTTTGGCTGAAATCTGCGCTACTTAGGGGTTTGTTTGGGGTCCTTTTTTGGGCGAGGGGGAGATTTCCGGCCCTTTCTTTCCTCCTGGGAACAATTCCTCCCCATTTCCCCCCTTTTTTTTCTTTTTTTTTTTTATTTTCTTTTCTTTCTTTTTTTTTTCTTAAAAAAAAAAAAAGCAAAAGGATTTCCCTAACCATGGCGGGCCCCTTACCCCATAAACCCCCTCCCCCCCGGGCCCCTTTTTGAAAACCCCCCCCATTCTGCCCCTGTTGTTTTAAAGCCACTCTTCGGACCCCTCCTAAAGCCCCTGTACCTCTTGCTGGTGCTGTTTCCTCACCCGTTTTCAGGTACCGGGGCTTCAAAATTTACTCCTTCGATTTGCCCGAATTTTCCGCTCTCCTTTGCTATGCTTCCGGCTTTTTCCCTCTACAAACGGAAATTTTTTTCGAATCGCCCGCCCATTTAAACGCCGGCCCAAAACCCGGTCCTACTCCAAAACGCCAACGTAAAATCTCCTGATATGCTCCTTTTTTCCCTTCCCATTCTAATGGGAAAAAAAGCCCGGGACAGTCAAGCACTCCCTCTCCACCTCAGTTTGGGACCACACAGTGGACAAAATTTCCCTTTACTTTAAGCCGCTTTTTCCCTTTCGCCTACCTTTCGGGAACCATAGTATTGGCCCCCAAAGCGCTCCTGGTAAAATGTTGGAAAGATATATTTCATTTCATGCTCTCAAGGGGCGGTATGGAAACCCCGTCACTTTTCCAAATGCTACCCAAGCTCATGATCTTTCTCTCCTTTCAAATATCGATACTACCCTATCACTATTGAAAAACACTTTCCCCTCAATTCTTGTAGTGGGTACTGTCTTTCTCCCCCCATCCCATAGCCCCAACAGAATTTCCAGCCCTGTGGAAAATGACTTTTTTGGGAACAGTTTGGAACCCCCAGGATCCCCCCAACCCTTTCAAAGTAGACACTTATGTCCCTTCCCTCCCCCGGGGGCGGGGGACGTTACCCTTGAAAATTGTTGGCTCGTTTAACTTTTGACACCCGAAACCCCCCGTCCTCTGTAATGTCGCGGGACAAAAGTTACAATTTTGGAAAAAGGTGATACCTACCCCGCAACAATGTAAAATTGTTTGGCTTTTTGGGTTTCACCCGGGAAAAATATTGCAGATCTTTTGGCCAAATTCCCCATTTTCTGGGGTTTGCCGACGCCCCATTTAATACTTTCTTGCGGGCAACCTTTTCCATCTTCCCTTAATTTTAATGAAGCTCACCCTTCGAAATCCCGCCTTTTGCCGGTTATTTAAAATGAACGGGGAAATCCGTTCCCCAAAAGACGAAGGTCCCCCCCTTATGCTAGGGGCAGTTCCCCATCTCCGCCCCCAAAGGGGAGACTCCCCCGTGTTTTTTATTCCCCGTTTTTCCAAACACCCCCCCCTTTGGGGTACCTTTCTTCGCAGCCTCCTTGTTTTTAAACCCCTCCCTAGCCACTACGGCATCTAATCCTTTTGCTGTCCTTGGCCCCCTGACGCCCCGACTACAACTCAGTCTGTTCTCACATCTTCGCGTCCTTCCTCACAACCCCCAGTATCGAAAAAGCCCTCATACAAACCCCTAATACCAATCACCCCCTAAATCCAAGTCCAAAAAATCCCCATTGCTCAAATCCTTTTTTTGCCCCTTCCTTCCCTTTTCCCCCTTTCCCCACTTTACCTTTCCCGTCTCTGTCCTAGTTCTTCCCCTCTCTCCCGGCTCTATTACAAGTGTTGGAAAATTCACCCTCCTCCCCATACAAACCTTTCCCCCCCTGTCCCCTCCCAAGTTTTCCCCCGTTCCCGCCAAACCCCCCAGGTTTTTGCCCTTTCCCGTCCCCCCCCACACTTATCTCCAGTCCCTTTCACTCTTCCCTCCCCATCTTTTTG